CTACAGGAACTAAAAATGTGAATGATATTAGTATGTGAATAAATGGAAAACATTTTCAATCTGTTGCATCCTGAAAAAAATGATATTACAAAATAGCTTTCTTAAATTTATTTTCTCTGAATATTAATTGCAGAATATGACTATTATGTCATCAGTGACGATGAGGAATGGGAGAAAAATACAATAAGTGGGTTGAAGAAAAAAAAAATACGTTGTATTAGCAGAAAAGAGTGGATTCCTGGAAAGTCCAAACTTGATAATTTGATAGAACCACTTAAAAATTGCAAGAAGGTTGTTGTAGGATTTCAATCATCATCATTATCTGGTAATCCAAATTATTTGGCACAAACTGTTGTTCAAAAAATGCTGGATAACAATAGCATTAACAAAGGAAAACTTATTCCTGTAAGAATATCAAAAGATGCTATGATACCAGAATGTCTAAGCCTGTTAACACCAGCAAATGGTTGGGAAGACAACTTTTTTGAGATGTTGTTGTATGCATTATATGAAGAAAGTAGGTATTTTCATTTACAAGTATTTCATGATTAATTACAATAATTATTCAAGTGATTTCTTTATTCATTTAATAGTTCAAGCCTAAAAAAATTAACAAATGAATGACAGGAATGCCAGTTTAGTTTTTTTCTACACTCAGTATTAATATATTATTATTGTTACAAATTTATTGTCATAAAAAGCTACTTATTTCAAATTTAGACAAAGGGAATATGCTTAAGTATGTATACGTATACTGTGTCCTGCTATTGCAGTAGTCAAAGCATCCTGCAATTGCAATCAATCTTTCTTAATTTGGATCCACTGTGTCTGTCTTGTCTTCAGCAAGCATCCTAAAGCTCATTCGGTTTCTTTAGAGATCTGAATGTTCCCATTTCTGCATTCTTACGGTAAGAGCAACAAGCTTTGTATTTGTTCATGTTGATGGCATTTTGAAAATGTATGTTTTAAATACTAAAAATAACCAGGGACTGTCAAACATTCAGGAAATATACTATATATATATGTATATATATATATATATATATATATATCGCATAGAGACTTCGTTTATCTGCGCTATATAAGTCCATCTATTATTATATATTATAAGTCAATCGTGACGTCTTCACTGTAACTCCCAATGTTATTTGCCATTCCCCTTGGCTTGATTTTTTTTAAGTTTGTGTGCAAAAAAAAATTCCTAATCTTTTCGTCACCGCGAATACATCGCGCAATGCGATAAAAATTAAATTGTAATTGAAAATTACTTTCGTAAAACAAGCTTAATTAGAACCCGAAGAAAGTTACTTCAAATTCAGTATTAAGTATAAAATGTTTGAAATGTTTCTTTCTTTGACAAAAGTCTATCAAAATAGCATTACAAACAAGTTCATTGTATCCGTACTACTACTAATAAGGACATGATTGAGGCATAGCATTGTGTAATACAATGTTCTCGATGGGTATTTGGACCTGTTCAACCATGAAGCCTTCGTGGTCTAGTGGTTATGACGCTCGCCTTGTCAGCGAGAGGTCGCAGGTTCGAATCCCATCGGAGGCATTTTATTACACAATGATTTTTCATAGGACTTTATTCGTTGAAAAGCTACAGGGTAGCCTACGATGTTCGATCATGTCCTTATTAAACACTGTATATGTACCTTTGATAATTTATATTATATTTATTCAACAGTGTTAACGGCTAACTTCCTTCAATGTGATATAATATACGACAGTATTTCTAGCCGTATTTCCAGATTTATCTGGCCGAACATCGTAGGCTACCCTTGAGGCATAGCATTGTGTAATACAATGTTCCCGACGGGTATTTGGACCTGTTCAACCATGAAGCCTTCGTGGTCTAGTGGTTATGACGCTCGCCTTGTCAGCGAGATGTCGCAGGTTCGAATCCCATCGGAGGCATTTTATTACACAATGATTTTTCATAGGACTTTATTCGTTGAAAAGCTACAGGGTAGCCTACGATGTTCCATCATGTATATATAATCAAAATTTCATAACACTCTGCTATTTCAGAATCAGCAACACCACAAATGAGCAAGGTAAGAATCTGATATACTACTACTTAAATTTTAAGGGTACTTGATAATACAAATATTAATATTGAAATTCAATAAATTATTTTGGACCCCAGATGAAGATATATGATCTACCAGCATAGTTGTATAAACACCCCAAACAAGTACAGCCTAATTAACTAATCACAAGTATTTTTATATGACATTTTATAAAAATATAATATTTAATGTTTTATATTGAATAAAAGATACTGAGATATATCAACGGATACAGCATAGGTACTGTAGAATTTTTTTGGCGATCCAAGGAAACCCCTGCTGGTTATTTACCAACATCTTTATAAAATGGTTTTTTCCCCACTAAAATCACAGGAGGGTCCGGATAAGAGAAATCCAGCACAGGGACCATCTCATGTTATTTGCTACACATGACTGTAGCTAACTATGTTTAATTATTCTGGTATATATTTACCATTTTCGGGTTGGGCGGTACAGTAGGACCATTAACAAAAACAGGACAATCCTACCACAAGTGAGACAGTTGGAATCATATTTCAGGATCAGTATAAAGAAATACAATAGAGTCATACACTTTTATTCTATTTTTTTGCAGATGTCTGCAGACAAGGCATGGCACACAGACGAAAGCAAAGATGAACAAATTACATGTCAAACTCATTCCACCAAAAAACTGGAATTTTACTGCTCAACCTGCAAGATATCAGCATGTAAACGGTGTGAAAATATTTTTAACTGTTACCGGAACAAACATGAAGTGATTGAAATGAAAGTGGCTGTAAATGAGTTTAATGGCAATGCTAATGAACTTATCGCGATAGCTGAGGAAATTACAAACAGATTGCATGGGACATTTGATTACATAAATAAAGATCGATCACATTTTAACAATCATCTACAATTATGTAGAAATGCTATAGAACATCAAGAAGAAACACTTATCAAACAAATAAAAGAGAAAAGCAGAGCACTGAAGGCAGATCTTGGAGAGAGATACAAAACTAAGAAAGAAGAGCATGAAAGTAAAATAAAAGACCTTGATTCAAAGCTGAGTCAAGTGAATAATCTGAAATCAGCAATTAATGCACTAATTAACAAACCAGAAGAAACAGAAAAACTTCAATCACTTAAGACAACACTAAACACCATTAGAGATAAGGTCCTAGGAACTGATGTTGATAAATCATTTCAAATGATGACACCATATTTTAATCCATCTAAACAATTGAATGAGTTATTGAATACAGAGGGCATTGGTAAAATCAAAACTGCTGATAGCATGATGTGTAAGGTTACTAAAGATGATGAAGCAATTACTGTCAAAAAAGTAGAAACCTTTGTAGTGACTGTATCAAGCGTAAGTGAGAGTGATACATGTAAATTAGCTGCCACATCAAAGGATCTCCAATGAATATCAAGGAATCCATGATACTTGTTCATACCATTGATAACATTTCAAAATATAAAGAACATTGAAAGAAGGCTAAAGTGACAGATGTCATGTTAGATAAAGATGGATGCACATTATTATCAAGCTACAGTAAAGATATAATAATGTTTAGTCAATCAGGTTCATTTGTTGCTAGGATACAATTACCACAGCAGGTGCAGGTCAATAAATGCATCTAATGAGTGATGGTCACATGGTGTACAGTGATTACTTAGGAAAATGTGTTGTAATTTGTGATGATAAATATAGAGAAATCCACTCATTTGGTAAAAGAATATTGAAATATCCAATGGGTTTGACAGTTAACAAGGAAATTAGAGTACTGTATGTAGCGGATCGTGGGCTCACTTTGTGTTTAAATTCAATGTCGACGATGGTAAACTGCTGGGTAAGATAGGTTAAAGTGAAGAGGTCAAATGAATAAACCAGAAGATGTCAATTTAACCAAGGAAGGTCATATGATTGTTGCTGACTTTGAAAATAGCAGAGAATACAAACGTTTGATGAAAAATGAGGGGGGAGTCGTTCATTGAAATTAAACATTTCAAGCCTTAATTATTGGGAAGTAAAAATACAGCACTTTTAAGGGTCAAGATAATTGCCTTCAGAAAAATTATTATTATTAAGATTAATTTTGCCAACGAGTACATCATTGTGTTATTTTTGGCATGCATTATTTTTCCTCTGCTCCCAGTTGGAGTATAGGGGAATGCTTGCTCAATGTATCTGATTCTATCACATATCTTGGTGTTAAACTCTGCGGTAAACTTAAAAGTGATATACATTTTGCTAATAGAGTCCGTAAATGTCTACAAGCTTTTTAGTCCTTACAAGGTACTGGTTTGTGTAAAAACGTTCTTCGACTGACATCAAGTCACATGTTTGGAAAACTAACCTCTCCCAAATGTTAACTTATGGCTGCCAATGTATTGACCTATCAAAGTCGCTGTGTTCTAAGCTCGAAAAATGTCAAAGTAAACTTATTAAAGCATCTCTCAATTTTCCTAACTATTATAGAACCAGTAACTTATTATTAAACTGCTCTTAAAATTCCCAAGATTTATTACGTTAAGAAAGCTATGGAACTTGACCTTGTCTTCCAAATTGTTAATACTTCTTCCATTTCCAAAAGGTTTTACTCACATTTAGTTAACTGCGAAGCCAATGATGATACCACCTGCAAGAGTACTTTAATTGACAGAATAATGTCAACTTAAAGAGATAATTTGTTTTTATTCGCAAACGTTTGTCTTGATAAGCAATACTAACTCTTTCGTTAAAAAAGTGTAAAAAGTCACTCGGTAATGAAATCTCAGACAGTATCAGGACTATTTTACATTATTCTGAAAATTATAATGGTGACCTGTTGAGAGAATTTCTATCTCCTTCTTCATGTCATATCAGTTTACTGCATGGAATTCGTTTTCATGATTAGCTTTGAATTGATCTGGTTGATTTTTTTTTTTTATTCGATAATTGTTTGCTTTTCTTCTGTATTTTATCTGTATTTTTGATGTTCTCTTTCTGGAGGTGATTATTGAATAAATTGAATTGAACTGATTCCTTTGTCGAAAAATTGATGCTCTGTTCTCTGATAAGGAATTTATCAAGAATTTTCAGTTAGTAGCAACCACGACATCATGTGTGCTTGTAGTCTGAGTCGACTTTACCGCTAAGCAGGTTAATTTACTGTTAATGTAGTGCAGTTAAGTCGCCTTTATCAGGATATAATTGACTGATTCACGCTGGATTTTAATCTAGATAAGTGGATCTATATCTAGACATAAGTTTCATGTAAACCAGGCTAGAGGGACATGATTAATTAATTAAAGACATTATACTGTTAATCTATAGTGGAAAAAAAAATTGATTTTTAGGCCATTCTTTTTTTAGCTCCCATATACAGTTTAGCTCATTTACTCAATACTCGCCTTTGCAGCAACTTTAATATTTTGCCACTACCAGGCCTCGAATTTAACCGCGGCCACTGCGACCATTGCCGACGGTGCCCTCCCAGTTGGCCTTGGTGCCCCTGAAAAATGAAGCACGACGACGGCCACTACTTGCCTGCCCTTTTGAAGCCTTGGCCTCGATGCCCTCACGGTGCTTAATATAGATCGTTTGACACGTAAAATAAATCTAAGTAAGAACGTTTAAATCTTGAAAGAATATAAAACACGAAAGCCAAAAACGTAGGTCGCCTAAGCTAGCCTAGCCAGGTTGCAGTGACAGAACAGAACATGACAGAATTTCCATGTGTGTTGTTGACAAACTGTTTTTGCAGTTACCGTTGTGTGCGCATGCGTCTTACTCTAGCGGTTATTGCAACATAAAAATGGGCTCATTTTACTGGTTCATTTCGTTGGAACGAATTTTCGTTGAGTATTATTTTCATTCGACTGGTTTGTTATAGACTTCGTTGACAACGAAAATTGACGTAAACCAGAGTGCGTTAATCAGCGTTAAGTTACCCACGTGACCAAAGAGAAACATGGCTGATTGGTGATTTTTTATTAGCAACATTTGCATTAATATAACTTAGATTAAATTTCATAAAATAAACATTATAATATTTACCCACATGGAGTCAAACAATTATTGTAGGCAAACAGAATAAAAAAAAAAAAAACTGGATGAAATTATTTTTTTTAAATGAAAAACCCATACTACCACAAGTTCAAGCAATCTTGATTATGCAACATGTATCGCGGTAACTATACAGCCATTTTGTTTTGTCGAGTATTACAAGTTTTCTATTTGACTGGTCGTCTTCGTTGAGCAGGATGTTACCGCTGCGCGCAGGTGGGCGTGGTTTAACTAAGAATGACCAGTCAAATACGGCCTTTGTATAGTTGTGCACGTCATCGCAGCTTTTGCGGCCAGTTTAGAGTTGTGGCTTCCTCCGATGACGACGGACTGAGCAACAGCACAAAGATATCGAACTTCTTGAAATTTGACTGTTTTGTACGATCGCCGACCGCCGCAGTATATTTCAACATTGAATCGATAATTAATAGAATACTCTAAACAAAGTCATATTACCACTGACAACTATGGCTTGGCTAGGCCTAGCTTGCCTAGCCTGGCTACTGACGAATCAAGGCACTCGCGAGAAATTAGTACTAAGGCTAAATCAAATTTTGCCTTGGGTGCCCTTTTATACTTGAAAGTTTGGACTTGGTGCCTCTCCATTTGGCCTTGGTGCCTTTCAAAATCATATCATACCGGAGGCCATTTGGCTTTGCCCATAAAATTCCCAAATTCGAGGCCTGCACTACATGCCTCATATAATATTCAATAAATACATTATGATTTGGATTCTCATAAAAAAGTGCCATTGTAAATATTTTGTAATAATACTGTAATAAGAATGTTGGGGAGTCTAATGTAAAAAGAATGAAATAAAAGTGGGTGAAATGAAAAAAAAAAATTAATGACTAAGATGATGTCATATATAATGATTGTAATTAATCAACTTACAGAGCACCTATATCGCCACGGTTATCTGTAGTATAATCTTTCATGGCTTCCAGAAAAGTGTTATAGATCAAGTCCACATTCTCCAGACAGACGCTGTTGGCTGTGCTACCTGATGGATTAACCCCCACTGTTGAACATAATCTGGTGACAAACAAACAAACAAGGCATAATGCCAAATCAAATAAATTGACAGTTTCACATCCTAGACCTCATCAAATTTTGGAGCTATTGAAAAATTTACTATTTGCTATATATATATATACAAAAAAAAAAAAATAATAATCACAAGCTGAAAGAATGTTTTCAAAGTCAAAGTGGATGTGCAAATAACAGAATACATAACAAAGACTTATTTTTCTTCTTTTATAACTAACAATTTATTTACCAGCCTGTTTACCACTGATATTATATAGGATAGTAAATAGTAAAAATTGAAGATTTTTATTCAATATTTATTTATTCATTTGTAATTTATCTATTTAATTTATTTACTATTATTCAGGTGACATTCATACTCCACACCCTTTGGATCTTCTGCAAGAATAAATTATATAGTGTCATCTACCATTCCCTCTCTTGATCGGCTGCCATGACAATCCATCATAACTATATTCATTTGTTGTAGGCACATGTTACTGTATATTTTGGTATAAGAGAACCCATCAAGAGGCAAATGAGCTCTTTGCATTCTAAAGCCCTTTCCAGACTATCATATTTTTATTTGATAAAAACATGTGACATGTCTAAATATGGTCATGATGACATCACATCATGACCCCATATAGGCACATCATGACTACATATGGGCATACAACAGTTTTTTGTCAAAGAAAAAAAATTTATGATCTGGACAGAGCTTCAGACCAACCTTGCAATGGATGCCAATGCTTCAATTCTTGAATCTGCATATTTTCCATCATCCTGTTGTTTACCACTCAGTTTAGTTGTCTTGATCAACGCTAATAAAATCTAGTAATTCAGAAATCAAATAAAAAAGTTAATTATGTATTGATTCGAGTTCCTAGTCCACATTTCAAGCGCCCTGAGCATCTTACATTAGATGGATTTGTGCGGTATATAAAACTACACTATTATTATTATTATTATGTATTCAGCTTAAAATAAGAATCTCTTTGCATTATTTAAATATTGTAACAGGAAAACTGGACAAAAAACTGTTTTGTGCTCATATATAATCTAGTAAGTCAGAAATCAAATAAACAGTTAATTACGTATTCAGCTCAAAATAAGAATCACTTTGCACTATTTAAATATTGTAACAGGAAAACCGAACGACAACCATTATCATCATCACCGTCTTAAAGCTCTGTGCAGACTATCAAATTTTCTTGGACAAAAAACTGTTGTATGCCCATATATAGTAATGATGTGCCTATATATGGTCATGATGTGATGTCATCATGACCATATTTAGGCATGTCAGATGTTATTGCAAAATAAAATTTGATAGTCTGGAGAGCGCATTAGCCATTGCTATCTCAATGGCCAATGGAAACACTGAAAAGTAATGTGTAACCACCTTCAATGTCTGAAGAGTATTCCATTTTAAAGAGCGATATTTGAAGTGCTTAACTTACCTGCTGGAAATGGCCATCAACAATAAAGTGTGGTAGAGCGCCAAGAGCCATAGCAAAGCCTTCCTTAGCAAACTGACTAACATTTGACAACTCTGATATGTACCTATCAAGCAGTGTATCTGTAATTAAATTCGGGTTAGTACATCATTTATAACTTTGTGATTTATTTATTAGTAATATTCGGCAATATGGGCTTTACGTAGATTGTAAATTAATGGTTACAGAGGATATTAGAAAACCGGCAACCTAAACACTGAGGTACAATTCCATTTTTTTCTGGAAGTATTAACTGAGAAAGTAGGTAAAATTTACCAATGAATTCCTGTTTAGCTGTCTTGAAATACTCGTTGAGGAAGTGGGGCAGAGCAGAAACTGCAGCCACCTGTATCTGACGATTCCAAATCTGTAGACACTGGATGTTGTCTTCTAAGACCTCATGCCAATGCTCTGAGAAACAGACAAGAGCACAGTTAGTGACCACTATGTTAGATTTCAACAACATTTTAATTTTAATTACTTCCAATAAGGAGGTTATGTATTGACGGCAAAAATTACTTGTTGCTTGGATAGCGCTTTTCCTTTCAGTTACAAAGCGGTGTGGATTTTCCCTGGTCAGTGGGTCTGCATGCTTAAGTGTAGCTGCCATATTGGCGCAGCAGCGGGCAAACTTACCAGGTTCTCATTTTACACCTGGGTGGGGAGAAGCAATGAAAATGAAGTGTTTTGCTTAAGGACACAAGCGAAATGCACAGCGAAGGATTGAAACTCCAACCCATCGAGGTTGGGAAACCAAACAATTCCTGCTGCACCAAACCGGTTCTAATGAATGGATCATTATAAAATTTAATGGAATGGTACATAATAATTAAAGAAAGATACCTTTCAGTTTTCGAAAGAAAAAGTCGAAGGACAAGGTCAAGGTCACCGAAATTTGATTTGTTACCATCGAGCATAAATGAAATAATGAAATTTCTACATGTATTCATGCAGCATTCAAGAAAACAATGGCCTGAAAATGACGAACGATTCTATTATTATGTTACTGAGGGTATGCTGCAGTTTTGCTCATCGTACATGGCTGCACTTTGTTGGTAATGTATTCAAGCACAGGGTGGCAGTATGAACTCTACGGATCACTGCTCTATTTAATTATTTTTCTGTTTTATTCAGTATTTGTCAGGAAGGTTCCCATAAGACACAACATTGGAATCTTCAGAGGCTAAAGATACTAAGAAACAATACAAAGAAAATCATACTTCCTAATGATGCAATGTCTATGGAAATTAATTAAAATACTGAATTGCAATAATCAGGAGGATCAAACAAGCTATCCTCATAATTTATAACATTCTTCATTAATTCATCCTAAAGAAAATCTCTGTCCAGATTATCGAATTTGAGGCATGTTGCGGCGAAATGGTTAAGTTGTTGCACAGGCCAGTATTGAGTAAATGAGCTATAAAATATGGGAGCTCAAATAATTGCTTAAAAATCCAAATTTGTTTTTCACTATAGATCAACAGTTTAATACCTTATTAATCATGTCCAAAAGTATTAGTTCTGGAAGTGGTCAACAAATCGTTTATTTAACATTATTTTGATAGTTAATTCTATTAAACAATGTATGCACAAATAACTTTGAAAGGCAATTACTCAAAACCATGTTTATCTTGACTCTAAGAGTGCTGAACTTTCACTTTCCAATAACTTAGGCTTGAAATGTCCAATTTCAATGAATGACCTCCCTAATTTTAAAGATCACATTCTCAGGTATCTGAAAATACCAATAACTTGAATTTCAATATTTGCTACAACATGATTCATTTGATTTGACAAGAAAGTGCTGTATACCCATATTTAGTCATGATGTGATGTAAAATCTGTGACATGCCCATATATAGTCTTGATGTGCCTATACAGTATATGGGCATGTCACATGTTTTCGTCAAATAAAATGTAGTAGTGTGGAAAGGGCTTTAAATTGAATTTGTCAAGATTACTTACTTAGAAATTCGGAGTCATCGTGAAATGGTAGCTGTGACATTGATGATTTTCTGATTAGGAAACAGGCAGCAGGTCTCATGAATTCACCACTTATACCGCGGAACATCATCGCAGCATCCATCTTTAAACATATAAAACAATTAAAAGGCATCTGTTTTAATAGTAGAAAATACTCATTACAAAATCTCTGTAATTTCAAACAATACATGCCTAAATTTTCATTGCTGCCATTTTTATGAGTGATGCTGTGGCTTGATAGTAAAAGTGCTTGCCTTCAATTAAAAGGGCCTAAGGTTCAATCCTTCTATCTATGCACTATGCACAAAATACAGCTTAAAGCTAATTTAATGAAACATAGACACAATAGTAAATATATCTATGTTCCTACTACAGACTGGTCATTTTAAATGAAATAAGAGTAGTAAACCGTGTCCAAACCATTAAATTTTTATTTGAAAAAATGGCTTGCCTAAATATGGTCATGATGACATCACATCATAACCATATATAGGCAAATCACAACTAAAAATGGGCATACAATAGTTATTTGTAGTATGGACAACAGGGGCGGATTTTCCCTTTTGTAAGGAAAAAAAATTTTTTTTTTAAAAAGAAAGAAAGAAAAAGTAAAAAATAATTTCCCAAAAAGCCTCAGAGGCTATTTTCATACGTCTAGAACACAAAAAATTCCCCCTAGGATTGTAATTTCTCGATCGGCCCCTTTGGCGCCCCCACCCTCCTTTTGGACATCTCTGGATCCGCCACTGAACAGAACTTAGTCAACACTAGTACCTTCTTTGTTATTCCTTTAATTGATTCAAACACGCTGACATCTACAAGATCCACCAATTTCCTTTGGAAATATAAATTAATATAATAATTACAGTAAGCAATATTAAAATGGAAGATATCACACTATTTTTACAGCAAGCTACAGTACCAAGACCTTGTAATGCCAAAGGATGAGCAATACTACACTATGTGGAGTGAGTATGCCAATAAATAAATATACAAAGATTACTAACAAAAAAGGAAACAACTTTACCTGGAATTAGCCTTTGTATGTTCATACACAGCATGGAGAACCTCGGCAAGTGCATACACGGCACCATGCCGTGTGTTGAGATCAATGGATGTCGTTAAAGGAAGTAGATATGGAATCACTACAAAATAAATGAACGCATCTTGCATATCATTAAAAGAAACAAAAATGAATTCACTCAGTAAATGAAATAGTATACAAATACAACATAGTTTGAGGTGAAGCAGTGAATTCTACGTCCCACGGTGGTGGATGATTGGGACTACCTCCTGAGGCGAAATGGGGGAAGGTAGTCACAATCAGCCAACAACGAGAGAAGTAGAATTCACTGCTTTTACTGAATTAAAACCATGTTTTATTTGTTTTACCATTCCTCATTAATGTTAAGCAGCAAACCATCCGTCTACATCAGCCATTTCGATATGTGAGGGTAAAATTATGCAGTTTGTATACGGTTCAAGTAGACAGGGGTGCATTTTTTAAATCTAGGTAGTACTTTTTTTTGCCATATGCTAACTCTGGCACGTGCAAGGAAGAATATGGTTTTTGCAAATTTAAGAGAGATGGGGATTTAAGGTGCCAGGCATGATCAGGTCCAGCCACAACTTGGTTACAGTTTGTATTGAATTGATACAATACAGAATACATAGGTACAGTAGTAATTATTTATTTATCTATTCGAATTCACACAGGCAAAAATAAAATAAAATATCAATGAAATAAAAGATTGCCGGTGACAGGAAAAGGCCAACAGGTGGACAAATCACATCTCTGATAGCGGTCGATCCTGAATTGCACAGACCAAGATATAAAATCAACAATATAAAGTTTTAAAATGTAACACTAAAGTTTGTAAAAGGAACTCAATGCATAAAACAAATAATACAACAATCTCAAAGAGAAACTTTAAGAAATTGCACATAGTTGTCAAAAATTTTAATTGGGCGACATTTGACATAGCGACAACATAACAGCCAGCTGCAAACAAATATTTACATTAAACTTATCGAGAGAGAGAGAGAGTATTAGAAGCTACCGCAATCTTTTCCAGGTGGAACAGGCTGATGCAAAGTTATTACCTTAAATCAATATTTATGAGGTATAGTAATATGCAATCTGACCTACCAGTCTTGGCCATGTACTCAGGTGCTAATGGCGTTAGTTTATGTAGGGCCTGACCAGTCAATTCACGTATGTTACTGAAAATAAATCAGAAAGTTATTCATCTTATTGGGTTTACAGAAAATATAAAAAGATGAAATTGCAATTAGTTATAGTCTATGGTAAAATTTAGAAGAAAGTTCAGACCTTAATTAAAACATTAAATTGCTCACATAAAATTATCACATATAACATCAAAACGAGACATCTGACAGCTGTTTATTATAAAAATTTTTAAAGACATAGTCTGCCTGCCAAAAAGATCACAAAAACCTAAAAAATTCAATCAAAACAAAAAAAGATTGAAAAAAATAGTTTCCACAGATTTACAGATTATCAGCCAATTTAACGGTTTATGCAAAAAAAAGAAATAGAGGAAAGGTTATATTTAACTGTCCGTTAATTGATGGAGAAAATGTTTTCTTATTCAATTATTTTAATTGTAAGTTAATAACTTACTTAAATATAATGAATAAAAGGTGTAGCCGTATTAGTCTGCTCTAGAACCACCTGGTGAAGTCCACAGGTGTGGATGAAAGCAAAAGCGAATAAATGCATCTTTTAGTCTTTGAAGTGCTGAGATTTGTCATTTCTTATATTACTTAAAATATAAAAAATAAGCAATTCAAATTCTACAATCTACAAACCTGTCCCAATGGTTACTTTTGACCTTGTAGAGGTGCTCTATCAATGGAATTGTGTACTCTTCAAACTGTGCAATGGTATAACTGAGGAGAAAAATGAACACAATCACTATAAAATATATATATATATAAAATTTTTTTAGTAATGATCTTATTTTGTGGAACTGTTCACCACACTTTATTTTCAAAACAATTATCTGATTATACCTCATTTAAAAAGCTGCTAAACACATTTCAATAACTCATTGAAAATGTTGTAAATCTAGAGCTGGATTATTTTACTTTTATATGATATTATTTTATGTGTAATATTTTACACCAAACTTATGAAACAAGCATCCCAGCTTGAAGAGTTATCAACTGTTATGCTTTTATTAGTTGTGTGAAGTTTTTGTAACACTTTTTGTAAATTTTTGTTAATGATGTTTATTCTTGTGAATGTATTCTGTTGGTCACATGTTATGTCCAATCTAGCAAATTTTATTTGACAAAAACATCTGACATGGTTAAATATGGTTATGATGACATCAAGACCTTTAATCCTGACACCAAACAAGTCAGTACTCAATGAAAAGTAGGCTTACCTGATACTGAGGTATGTGTTTGTACGATTACCAACAGCATAATAATCTGCTATACTCAAAATATCAATACCGTGAGGAAAGGTGCCTTGACGTCCAACATTCTCCTGAAATGCGGCCTAGAAAAGGAAAATCCCATACCATTTACTGATTCTGTATTCTACTCTATTCTATTATGAGTCAGGGACCAGGTAGTCAATAAGGTCACAAGTCAAATGGACAGCAATGAAGTTGAACAGCGACGGTGTTAGGTGACCGAGCAGTTAAGGCAGGGGCATCGGAAAACATATAGCCATAATATCCGTGCTGATTTAAATGGCACTCTCGGTTCTAATGGTGTAACAATCTTCTCGTATAAAAATTATAAATTGTAGGCCCAATTTACACAACTTGGGTCATATGCATTTTAAAGAACCCAGTTCATCTGTCGAGATGTGTAGGGGGTTACCCCGGTGTACTGGTCCATGTAACCCTAGTTGTGGACAGGCAAGAGTAGTTGGTACCGATTTACCAGGTAGCTCAGATACGAAGAGACCCTTAGGGAAGAAGCAAAATTACTGTAAAAGCTAGTCTACACCTCAAGTGTTTTGAGACCATTTCAGTATAATGCGGCGCTATATAAATCTAACTACACTACCTTAAATACCAAGAAAATATAATAAACAGAAATGGTTCTAATATTTCTAGTTAAAGGAACAATAGCAAAAATAGTTGATTTATCAACGTAAATATTGTCACAAACAAACTACATGCTTTCAAATGACCTTGCTGAAATTACTCCTAAAATACATTCACTGTTGGTTCTCGTAAGGATGTGATAAAACATGACTTACTGAAGCAGCATATCTGCAGTTGACCTCACGGTCAAATATCGCTGTGACGATAAGGGCACTTGCAATACTGTTGACGTAAGGCTGAATGTCATTTGGGTCATAGGCTCGAGCAAATGACCAGCAGACGTAACATGCAGCATCACGTACGTGAGTGCCTAATAAGATACAAAAAAAAAAAATTGAAAACATTTCCTATGTCACAATAAACAATATGTTTGAAAGAACAAACTAGTTTTTCTTTGAATTTTATAGTAGTTTGTCATGGATTCATTTATTATTTTCCGCCAGTATAATAATAATAATAATAATAATGGTCGACTTATAGAGTGCATATTGTGGAGATCTCTATACGCTAAATATAAATGTTAACCAAAAAAATTAGACCCAGATGGTACGGAACAATGGGTGTTGATGGAGAGTAATGTAAGTAAGAGTAATGACCGGAAATGGTCTGCCAGTTGGTTGTTACCATGCGCCAGTGATGTTGGAGTACAGCAAGATGAAACTATGTATTGCATGAATAAAGTTCGGGGTTTGTCGGGTAGTGAAATGATTATTGTACATTTTAAGTGCTCCCTCCATGCATAAGTGTAAGCTAAATTACGGTGATTAATTAGCAAAGATATGGTGACAACTATTAGAAGTTCCCTCTTTTCAAGAGGGGATGCAAATACTTTGTGAAAATGAGTACGCCGCAGCCCGCGGTACTCATTTTCACAAAGGAATACACTCAGCTGGTTAGCTAACAATAGGCCTATGCAAATTTACATGAACACCTGGTAAGAAAGGTTTGCAATCACGTTCTGTTGCCTAGCAAACGTCTGTACTGTAGCGTGGGGGGGTGGGGGCTAGCCTACTGATGTACTGTGTATAGCTGGGGACGATGAAGCATAATATGACTAGGCCTAAGTAAGTAGACAGTGCAATTTTATGTGATAGAAAGCACACTTTCAAAAGAAATAAATTAAAATAAGAAAAAAATTAACTAGAGCCTAAGAATAATTCTGTTGCAGACGTACCTTATTTAGGTATTATATGCTAACTATGTGGTTCTTGTAACCCTAGCTAGACAAGGCACTCATGTGCAAAGCAGTAGTGTTTATTTATCCATGAAAAAAGCACGCCGGGAAAGTTTGCTTTACCAGGAAAAGATGACGTAATCTAGCTTATGACGTACAGTATGCATGCTAACTATAGCGCGAGTGTGACGTCACCAAAAAATAAAAATTTTCTATTATAACCAAAATACTAATAACTACAAGGTTTGTGGGCGTAAATTCCCTTAATACAAATTAAGGGTAGCACCATCTCCTTGCCATACAAATTACAGCTCCCATCGACGTCTGTGTCGAGAAGTACGGGTAGCTGAAGTTTTTCTCGAAAATCTGACTACGAAACCAAATTGAAATTCACGTTCCACTTCTGACTCTGAGTTGCTTCGCACACGCCGCTGAGGGCGGCATTCCGGGAAGCCTGCGTCAAGAAAGTAGTATATCTTTCCAAATTATAACCTTATCCTATTATAAAACATAACAGAACAGGAATTTGACCTTAATTTTTTCTTAAATGGTCCATTCTGAATTTACAAAAGCTAGAGATAGAAGTTTTTTTGTGAGAATGAACCCAGGGTGTTTGAATTAGAAGAAGAGCACCCCTTTCACCATTCCACAGTTGCACTTGACCTTGTATTTGTGTATGTTATTGCTTACCTACACTATGAGCACCTCTCTTCTCATCATAAGCCAAGGCCTTCAAAACCACTGGAACAACTACAATAAATTCAAACATCAAAAACATTTTCTAAAATATTTAGTAGAAATTACCTTTTAATAACAAAAGACAAGAACATATCTTCCTTTGAATTTATACACTGGGAATTATATTGCAGCATGGTCATAAAATTTTATTTTAAGAAAATCATATTTTTTATTTATTCATAATTTTTAATTATTATTTTAGAATTAATTTTTAATGTATAAAAAAGCTTTGTTAAGCTCTGTACAGACTATCAAATTGTAATTGACAAAAAATGTGACACGCCTAAATATGGTCATGATGACATCACATCATGACCATATATAGGCACATCATGACTATACATGGGCATACAACAGTTTTTTGTGGTCATGATGACATCACATAATGACCATATATAGGCACATCATCACTATATATGGGCACACTCAACAGTGTACTAACCATCAGGTAGACGGCTAGGCAACAGCAAGCCTCGCCGACCAAGTTCAGCCAGAGACAGGCAACCACCTTGCCACGCTCCATCACTCTCTCGCAAACTGTAGCAAAACATATAATGCATAAATGAATGTTAGGTAAGGCATGGGATAAAATATACAATGCATAAATGAATATTAGGCAAGGCATGGGATAAAATATATAATGCATAAATGAATATTAGGTAAGGCATGGGATAAATATATATAATGCATAAATGAATAAGAAATGCATAGGATTGGTAATGGTTGGTCCTATAATTAGGTCATTACTTAAAAAAAAACCACCTTAATTTAAAAAACACTGTGCTTGGACAACACAGTAATGGACCTCTCAGCTAAGTCCTGTCTCTTGCATATTGTTGTTTACATTCACCAATAATATTTTTTTTTCTCCTCCATCTGGATGTTTTTGGCAAAACTATTTGCAAAATAACAAAACAAAATTTTATTTATACTTTTTGTCTGCCCTCCTTTGACGATCTTTAAAAAATAAGTTTGCGAAACAAGGTATAAAACAAGTCTTGCCCTACTCAGTTGTTAAGCTTAATTGACAGACACTCACGTAAACAACTGAAGCACAGACTCTACAACCTCATCTGCCAACTCTTGGGGAAGCCTTCCAGTCAATCGTCCAATTCTGAAAGAAGAAACCATGTGAATGCATGAAAGAAAAAAAATAACTCCATAATGGATAGTACTCTGTAAGTGCAAACTAGTTTTAAAAAAACACACATAAAATGTATTTCTAAAAAAGACATACTGATTTAAAATGTAGGTAATTATAAATTCCATATTTATATTGCTCCATGTTTTAAAAAAAATATCTTGTGTTACATAGTAACATTGTGCTCACCCTTTGGCAGCTGACCATCTGACTGCAGTGTTAAAGTCCTTTAAACCTGATAGTAAATGCTCTGGAATTAAAGAACAATAATAGTAATCATAATGATTTACTTATATAGCACATATGATGAGATCACACTATCAAGACATTAGTCATTGGATTAAACACCTGTAGAACACAAACTCGGCTCCCAGGGTGAGTATTCCATAACGCTGGAGCACGTAATCACCGCATTTGACATTTTAACCCTACCAGGTACCCACTTAGACTCCTGGGTGGAGAGAAGCAATGCAGATAAAGTGCCTTGCTCAAGGACACAAGTGAAATGCACAGCAAGAGATTGAAACCCCTGACCTCGAGATTGGGAAACCAAACATACAGTACCTGCTGTGGCAAACCACTTCTACAATAAGAATCAAATGTTGAGAAATCTTTGAGGCATGTGATATAATGGAATGATGATGATGATGACGATGTTTCAATAATATATGTTGGTGGTGATATAAATGACAGTGATGATTAACTGGTGATGGTCTTGTTGTCAGTGATACTTACTTTACCCTACCTTACCTTAACTTACCTTACTTTACTTTACCTTACCTTACCTTTCTCTACCTTACCTCACCTTCCTTTAACTTACCTTACCTTTCTTTACCTTTCTTTACGTTAGCTTACCTTTCTTTACCTTACCTTATCTTTCTTTACATTACATACATTTCTTTACCTTACCTTACTTCAACTTTACTTTACTTACTTTACCTTACATTACCTTACATTACTTTATTTTACTTGACTTGATTTTACTTTACATTACTTTACCTTTACCTTTCTTTAGCTTACCTTACCTTACCTTTCTTTACCTTACCTTAATTTACTCCACTTTACTTACCTTACCTTACCTATATTTACCTTACCTTTACCTACATTTACTTTGCCTTACCTTAATTTACCATACTTTGCTTTACTTTACTTTACCTTTCTTTACCTTACCTTATCTTACCTTCCTTTTCCTTACCTTACCTTATCTTACCTTTCTTTTTCTTACCTTACCATACCTTTCTTTACTTTACCTACCTTACCTTATATTTACCTTACCTATCTTTACCTTACCTTTCTTTACCTTACCTTACAATGACTGCCTACCTACCTACTTATTTATTTATTTATTTTATTTAAATTTATTTTATTTTTTTTTAACCAGTTAAATTCTATTTACTTTAATTTTTGTAAATAACAAAAGTGATGTTTTATTATTTATATTATCTGTAATTTCCTGAGATTGGGTAAATGAGCTTTCAAGCTAAAGTGTCCGTCACTATCATCAATCCAAGATCTTAGGAATATTTTACAATTTGTTTGTTATTTCTGTTGTTTATTCTGTGTAAATTGTATTGTACACTTTTTTGGCTGAATAAAGAAAGAATAAAAATAAATGAATGAATGAACAAGCAGTATCTTTGCTGAAGACTCTTTATATTAGTAGTATGTATTTTAGCACTTTGAACCATTTGAGCTAGTTGAACAGTGATGGAACCTGGTATAAAACATTTTGATTCAGTGCACACAAATATATTACCACAGACCTTTGTTCCTGTCTTCTACTTTGCAACACTTACCTATTATCTCCTCAATCTCCTCTGGTATATCATAATCTTCCTCCTCTTCCACTTTTATGTCCTTAGACGAGGCAACGATGGAGGATGCTTGTTCTGATGGAGTTTGGAGGTTGTGTAGGAGTGAGCGACTGCCTCGGGCATAACTGTGAATTTCCAAAATAATTTCCATTTGATTTTGCTTTCCATTATAGTTCACCAACGCATTTATATCTTTTCACAACTCTCGTAATAACGCCCTCCTTCCCATCCCTTGTTGCACACATTCCTACCGTTATTCTCTAAACCCAGCATACTCCCTGTCTACTGACCCGCAACAATCATCTTTTCCCTATAAGGCAATTACTTAACATGTAGACAAATGCAGTACTATATCACCTTCACCTTGATGGAACATACCTCTCTTTTGTGGTAAATAACTGTAAATAATTTATTGTATTGCATTTTATAAGTTAGCAGATAGTAATGCTTGATGGCACACTAAAGCAATAAATTGAATTTTTCTAAAGGTTTCCAAGTTGAACTAATAAATGAAATTCTCTTCTGTTTCTAGGTATTCTGGAAGCCCGTAACAATAAAAAATGTAACCTACCGCCAACTAGCAACTTTAGCTTTCATGAATGTAAGGCCGAGTCGTTGTACCACTTTCATGGCCATCTTGCGGATGGCGTTGTTGAAGCTTTCAAAGAGCTTACATGAATTTAAACGTTCCAAGATTGCTGGGGCTAGAAAAAGAAATGTTTAAATTTTCAGATAAACTATTTGTATGATGAAGGTGAGATCTTGGCAAAAGAGAGCTTTAGTTATCTCGTTCCGATAAACCAATCTACCGAGAAGGCGCATAATATTGTGTATGACGTAAACGTGTCACCAGTTTAGGTCTAGTTTTAGTTTTCACACCCTCAAAACCAGAGATTCAGTTGCTGGATCACAGGCGATGGATCAAGAACCAAAAACTGAATTTCAAAAAAATGTCATTATATTATATATTACATGATTATAATACTGCCCTGAGAAAACAATCATATAATATTAATACTGATTGCAAATTCACTAAAATTTTTGCAGATGTTCACATAAAATCAATGTATTTTGTCTTAGGCTAGGCCTTAGCTAGTCTGAACCATTAAACTAGCCAATGTGCCACTAGGGCTCAAACATGTGCTATAGACGTAGCAACAGGCTGTGCTGCCACCAAGGTGTTGGTTTCGTAAAACAAAAAACAGGATAGCGAAAGCTCACTATTTCTGTTTAATGAGAACGCACAAGAGTGGGAAATTTCTGACGGCGGATTGGTTCTCAAAGGAGATAAGAAAGCTCTCTAATGTCTCTCCTAGTCACACTAAAAAATTGAGTTTCTATTATTATCTGAATTCAGAACATGGTTTGTGTGGAATCTCCAAGATGCACAGAATGTGGGACAGTCACAGGCAAGTGAATCCGCCCAAGGTTTGTGGTGTGGTTGTGATGAAATACAGTACTCCCAAGTAAAATGTTAATATACACAGAATTCTAAAGATATATTGTATGTAATGTTTGAAAAAATAAACCTTTCAAATTTAAATTAAAACCATGAACTTACTTATTATTATTAAAATTTTTTTACATAAAAACAGACCAAAAGTGGTAATAGCTGATTTTAATTACAAAAAGGTCAAACCCGTAGTTAATTTAAGCATATGCTAAGAAAATTGCAAAGGGTATTATTCAAAGATTTTAAATACTGCTTTAGTATCCTAAACTGTATTGTGAATTATTTGTGAACTTTCTTTCCTTTAGTTATTCCAGTGTCAAATTTTTAAATTAACTGAATCCAGAATGAATATATTTCCTATGTAATTTATTTCCAATGTATTGTGAATGTTTTGTGAAGTATACATGACTATTTAGAGGACTTTCAGCAGTTTTATCGTAATTAATAAACATAATAATGTCTCTATAACTTGTTTTTTTTTGTAAAATTACTGTAGTAGGAAAACAAATAATAATAATATTTTAATAATAATAAATATTTTTCTATTTTTATAGCTATTTTTAAAATTTCATATATAAGTAATCATCAGTTTTTGTTTTAATTTTTTTATATCTATTTTTATGTAATATACCTATCTAAATAATTTTTAATGTACATGTCCTTGTTTTATATATGAATGTATTTAATTGCTTTGACAACTATTGTAATATCCAATCTATTATAGTATGATTGCAATAAAGATGAATTTGAATTTATTTTGAATTAATAACAAAATTAAATTATACATATTAAGTAAACGATTCAAACACATTTTTTTTCACATTATAATAATTGGTATAATGTTCATTTAAGCATATTAATTTAAGAACAGAGAACACATTCGTGCTGCCTTTTGCCCACTCTATCAAGCTACTTGGTTCATTATACCTTCTGCTAAGCCCTAACCCTTGCAATATCGTTGCTTAAGGTCCCATAAAAAACAAACGGGCATTGTCAAACGGAAACGCATGCTTTTGTGGGGCACATGTGCGTGTTTGTGAGACACACGCATATTCCTGGCCCGTTCTGACTGGCCCCGTTCTTGTAAAGTTTGATTAACACCGCGGAAAGGTCCACGGTATCTAAATCGTAATATAAATTTTACTATCATTCTTACCAAATGGGATCAAGTCGTCTCTCTTTCCATGTTTGAGAAGTAGAGCCTAAAAAAACCCAAAAACAAAGAAATAATAATTCTACCACCATTAAAATTATTACTAGTATAGTTTGCATTTTTTTCTTTTAAAATGGTTGAGAGGCCAAAAAACACCACAAAGAATTACAACAAAAGTATACATACAGAAATTACTTCCATTTTACCATTGCATTCCTAAATTATACATTAAATTAAAGCATTTATAGTTTAATGACAACTTACCAAACTACTCAGAATTCCAGAGATTGCAGTCATTCCCGGTATAGATCTACCTTTGATTAGACATTAGAAAACATTATGATAAATAATTTAATAGCTTAATAAAGAGATAACTGAACTTACATCATTTTCACATTCTGCATTGTAAAAGAGAGCAATCATATCTAGTGCCCTCAATGTTTATTTAACTTTGACCTGTATAATATGCCTACAATGTTTTAATAGATTTATCAATACTTTACTTCAATAACTTCAATTAAAGATGCAGTTCTTTGAAAATTGATTATCATCTGATCTCATCCTATACCTACTTCAATCTAACACCATAAACAACCTTTACTAATATTATTCTAAATCTGAATCATTATGAAATGGATAAATAAATAGAAAACTGACTACAATTCTTGCATTATTTTCACAACACAGGTTATTTCATTGACATGTACAATCAGTGGGGGATCCAGGAATTTGAAATAGAGGTGGTCCAGTGAGGGACTTTGACAGATGGAGGGTCTAAACCATGTCAGCCCCACCGTGGTAGGGACAAAGGTAAGAATTAACTTATGATTATGGCACCTCTTCTGCTTGCCTGGGCCTTACAATGGTGCGTCAGCAGTTTGTTCTTTAATAATCAACATGTGTGAGTGTGTTTGTAGTCTTATTTATGGGTTTAGATCAGAATTTATGTGTTCTTTTAGTGCAATTTTTCTGGTATGTAGATGGCCCAGTCAGTTGAGTCTTCTCCTTTTCATTGTTTAGATTATTTTATTCTCTTTAGTCTTCATGTATATAGTGTTTATTTGTTATTCTGTCTTTAAGCTTTATGTTTAGTATCCTTCTTAGTAGTTTCCATTGGAATAATGTTTATACTATTTTCAAGTTCTTTTGTTAGGGTCCATAGTTTGCTGTTGCAAATGAAAAGCGGGTACAAAGGTGTTGAGTATTATTATCTTTATACTTAAAGACGTTTGTCTATGGCTTTTTTCACCCTTTTTTTATATGGACCTCAAGATGACTTAAATTTGAATATAATTTTCTGGTTTTCTCTACTTTTTGTATAACTTTGAAACATTTACTGTAGGTGGGGGGGGGGCTGTCTGGGCTCCACTGGAATCTGACCTGAAAAAGTTTTACTATTTAGTGATAACTGAAGAGCAACGTCCTCTTACTGTCTGTCTTGGTCAAGATGGTCAGACACCAATCAATGAAGACTGGTAGCTGCTCTTTTCTTACATCTGGTCTGGTAACAAACCTAAGCAATGACAAAGGGTGTAAGATCACACAATTTTTTTAAATTATTACTTTTGTCATATAAACAAGAACAGAAGGGAATTGCTTCCATCACCAAAAGTAATAATTTAACAACATTCTATTGTATGTTATTAATTATAACTTTTTGTCATGTAAACAAGAACAAAAGGGAATTGAGTAGACAGAAGAGGAGGCTATGAAAGATAATTTAATTTAGACTTAGCAACAGGAGCATTCAGATAAATATACAATAGGTTTTATTAATTAATGATTACATTTTACAAGGAAATACAACAGGAGGAATGATTATACAGCAGAAATATCATATTTTTTGTAAACCAATGATTTCAGCCTATGGGCTGCCTGTTTTGGTGTTCTATTTTTATAGAGTGAATAAATAAATAAATTTAAAAAAAATATCGATACATTTATTATGAACAGGGTCAGATGGGATATGCGCATATCATAGAATGGAAATAAATTATAATTCATCTGTTATGTTAATAGCAGTAAGCGGGAAATGTGATACATTGATGAAAACGCCTTATCCAGACTATCTAATTCTATTTGACAAAAATAATATAGTCATGGTGACATTACATTGTGACCATAATATAGGCACATCATGACTATATAATGGGCATACAACAGTATTTTGATTACTGTAATTTACAACAGTATTTTGATTACTGTAATTTGGAAAGAGCTTTACACTGTGCATTAAATACCTTCCCTTATAGCTATGCCCAAAATATATATAGAGTTTCTACAACTTACTTTGAGAGCATATAAGCAGCTGCATCCCTTGACTTATCACTGACATCCAAATACAGCTTAAGAGAAAATAATTACATAATAATAAATTAAAAAATTAAAAAATAATTAATAATCTTAAATGAAATTATCAATGTTATCATCAACTCCTTCATAAATACCACCCCCATTCCACAACCAGGACTGGGAAAAATTTTTTTTGTCCGCCGGCCATGAAATTGTCTCGATGCCTCGTGCACCACCAGTCTGTGCACCACATGTTATCTGTACACTAAATAGTTTAACAGTTTATTTTCTGAATTTTTTTTGCTCAAAATGCCTCCAAGACATTCATGACGCCTCCAACCGTGGGTCACGTGGTCATGTTTTTTTTTCCAGCCTTGTCCACAACATTATCATCATAATCATAATTATTATCACTACATCACCATATTCATATCTCTCATCCTCATTACAACTTCTAATGTCATCACTGTCCAGTTTTAAGAAATTGAAATTCCTTTATTGTCATTTTATTACCTTGCCAGCATCTAAAATTCTCAGCATGATTGGCGCCCTCTTCTGGCCATCCTCTGCCACTACATTGCTGTCAAGACGATGCATGTCAAAAGGAATCATACACACAATGGAGAGCCACAGAAGCAGCATGTATCGCGTCTCCCATGTCTACAGTTGAAAATGCAGAAAAGATTATTATACACCTGCACCACAACTTGAATGTCGAATCAAAAGATTAGCACATGTTAAATATTATCATTTCATTATCATCATCAGTTTAAAGTCTATTATTATTCCATGCAAGCATGGGTTAGACTGTACTTGTAATGGCAGTTTTCCATTCTGCTTATTTGTATATTAATTTGGGTAGTAAATCACAGGCCTCACAAGGCAAGCCCTTCAATCGGGCAAGCTTACACACCAGCCAGACCACTTCCAGTCCGGTAGGGAGCCCCAGAATTTGACAAACCCTTTACTCTGGCACATTGTTGGTCCGCTAGAGTTGGCTCGGGATAGCCAAGCAAGGCTTACCAGCATATAAATACTCTTGAAAATCTGCATCTTACTTCCAAACAGCACCAAATTACAGGAGGATCAAGATACATGTACAGTAACACTATCATTGTGTGAAAATTTCAAATTGGTCCAGTTAGTTTTTGAGTTATGTACCCGGAAGGACACACACTCACAGAGACGTGCACATAGCAATACACTTCACCTCTCCTTCCGAGGCGAGGGTAACATTGATGAGTAATTGTCTATTTGTATGTAAATATGTAATGCATACTTTCATTCTTATTGTATGTAACTATGAAATTCATACTTTTATTCTCCCATTGCATTGTATGGTGACTGCGTATAAACTGTATGTATATCTGTACAAAATGTTCCTAATGAAAATGTATACCTACTTTAAAGTCTTTGACGTCCTGCTTTGCTAAAATGGCAAGCACAAGCTCCAGGTCAGGTACTTCATGTGGCAGGAAACGAACTATGACCTTGTAACCTCTTGCCTATACAAATAACAATAGCATCCCTTATTTTGTATAGTTTAGGAAGCATAAAATTATTTTACAGTACATACTGTATGCATACAAATGGGCGTGTTCAGTCACTACCTCAGCAGCCATAAAGAGGCAATTCCGGCTACATTCACATCATTCGACAACAACAAGGGGTTGAAATGAACCACTGCATTGGGTTAACCCCCTACTTTTTCGAAAGAGGCAACAGGTTTTTAAAGTGCACACGGGCCAGATGTATACACTGGACCTCCATTTTAAGTCCTTATCCGAGAAGACTTGTTTCTACCAAACTGAACCCTGGGCGAGGAGCGGCTGGAACCAGTGCCAATGTTAAAGCTGTAGTCAGCGGCGCCCCTGCCTTACTGGCCACTCGACTGATAGAATAATAAAATAAAACCAGGGACACTGTACACGCATATAGTAATTTCAATATTTTCGTAAGAAGTTTGTACATCACTGAAATATTTCGATCTCTCACATTGAAAATTAAAAAATTTATACATTATAATAAATAACATACAAAAAAATTATGATAAAACATGTATTAACATTTTTTTTAAAAGAGTTAATAATGGTAACAGGAATAATTTCATAGATTGATAGTTCAGTGAGCCTTGACTAAACACTTTTCATACTTTTGAGAACCTGAAAGCAAATTATCACAAATGAGTGGTTTATTATCCACTCATCGATGATTCTGAATACAGTACTGTACCTCAAACACATGTTGCATTTTCTGCAATAACTACAACATGTAGATTTACATTTAACTTCACTCTGACACAAAAAAACAAACTGAATGAAATGATACATTCAATTTTAACACCTTCTCTCACCAAGCTCTCTTATGACATGTCTGACTATATCCTTCTGCTTAGGGCAATCTCCCTTTTCTTACAAAAACACACAACATAATTTGTTTATAAGTATTTAACAAATTTATTTCTATTTTATCTTACTATATTTAATCTCTTTGATGTAATCTTATTGAACCTTTTCAGTCTTTGTATAAGTTAATATGATACTTGAAGTATATAGTAAACATTAATTTTACTCCTACATAATTGTACATAATAATCAAGGCCAAGAAAAAAAAAAATGTAGATTCTCGTCCTTTATATTTTGAAAAAAGAAAAATGAGGGCACTCTTCTTTCTTTTTCTTTTATTTTTAAGAAGTAGAAACATTGATTAATAATAATAATAATAATAATAAAAACTTTATTTAACCACCGTAAATAATTGATCACCTCAATGGTGTTTTTCATCATTGCCGTAACAGACATAATAATCAAACTTAACAAATCTTAAACAAAGAATAATGTTAATTAAAGAAAATAAAAGAAAACTAAAGCAAACTAACAGAAGCACTAGACATGATTCATAACATGATGTATCCCCAACCACTAACGAACAAGAGTGGAATTTTACTGTGATTTCGTACACTTTGGAAAATAAAGGAAATAAAAAATTTTAAAAAATTGGTGAGGCAGAGAAAATGGTTGCGCTAGTAGAGAAGAAACTAATAATGATTTTTATTTGGCCCAATGACAACCTGAATTGTAAATAATACAGGATTATATAAAGCCAATAGTCCTATGCTAATTCCTGGTAAACAATTAATTAACTTATTTTATTTATTTATTTGGTATAAAACTGTCACATCAAATGCAAAAGACAATCCTGTGAGTTTACATAACAAGCTTGAAAACAAAAAAAAAATTTTTTTTAAGTACAAATTACAAAAAACATTAAAATTATTAATATTATTTACAACTCTAAAATTATAATTATTTTACTAGATGTACCTTAGTTAACAGATACAACAACTTAAAAGCCAGGTGAGATAGCTCAGGATCACCTTGAGTGTCAGATGCTATTTTTAGAAGATGAGTCAGCATCTCCTGTAGATGAGGATCCATAAGGTGTGGTTGTTCCTGGTAATGGTCAACAATGACTGCAAGAAGATGAAAAAAAAAATATAAAAAGCTTTTAAATTAAGCATGATGTCAAATCATTTGAATGGTTTCTGGCAAAATTAACTTCATTAAAGATTACTTAGGAAAACCACAAAATCTGTGTATGGTCTCCTAGTGTAGCATCAAAGCAGACATAAACCTAGGCCCTGGCCGACACTGCAAAGCACTATGCGGAGGATATATTGAAAATTACTGTAACTCAAATTTGCACAGAATCCATATTGTAAAGTTTTTTAATTGCGCGGAAGATATCTAAAAACCTTTTGTCTATTAAATTGCATTGGTTAATATATTAAGACTTTGGTCAGTTAAAGCCTAGTTTTTAATTAAAGCCTAATTCTTGGCAAAATCTGTATGGAAATCGGCCCTAATTTTCCAAAAGACGGACAGATTTCAAGGCAAATTTTTTGTGCAGAGGATATATTCGCCGCACAGGCCTAACTATACAGTCCGACACAGAATATTGCTTGGAAAAAAGGTGCTCAAACTCTACATATGTGCGTAATATTATTATAATTATTTGATTGTACACATAGGCCTAGCCATGGCCTAGCTGGCTAGGCCAGGCTAGCCTAGAACACTGATTATACCAAAACAAGGTCTACTTTTCAGCAACATGCAGACCCTGATATAAAGTCTATTAGCTAGATACAAAACCGATAGAGGGCGCCATAGATCAATACAAACATCACGATAGAAAATAGTGCCCCGACAGAGATAAGATATCCAATGTATTAATTGGGTATTTCGCAGAAAGTATACAACAATTTGACCGAATTACTTCCAGATAACTCTCCAGAAATGATTTCTGGACCAAATTATTGGCTTTTTAAGCGTGCAAATCGATTTAGTAGAAGTTTTTTTAGTACAACCAACGTTTCGTCAATTTTCAATAATAAAAGGAAACCTTCGCTAGTTTTTTGGTTAACATGTTTGTTTTCTTCAGTTTTTAAACTATAAAAATAAAGATAAGTAAGTTTTAAATATTTGTGGGCATATTAATTGAAATAGATACTGTAGCATAAAATTCTATTGTCTTATCACGTACCGCAGCTAGGCTCGGCTCGTACGAATAGAAGGCGCCCTCGTTAATTTGCGGCGGTTACATGCAGGGTAAACGATGTTTTCCCCGTGTTGTGTTCCACCGTGTTGTCTGAGGCCTGCAATTAGGCCTAGAGTTATTATTATTATGTGATTCAATATTATTTATTATACGTAGAATCTATAAGTTGATAACAATTATTAAATCTAATATAAATATATATACTAAAATACTAAATTATTATCGTTAGTAATCGTCAAGTATTATTTTAACATGGCCTAAAATGCTACATAATTATACTGTAAGGGACACACATCTTGTATAATAAAAACAATAGGAATTAACTCCAGCAAGAAACATATTTAAAATAGCATACCTCCGCTAATATTGGTCCGATTTACATAATTTTTGTTTTAAAATGCTTCATTCAGTTATGTCTTTCTATTAAAAATAAATAAACAAATATTTGGGACATTTCAACCTTTTATGTTTCTAGCTACCTCTATATTAACAAGGTCCTAACTAGGCCTATAAGGCATAAGGCCTAGACTAAGATCGAAGAGCCCATGATGGCAGTGCCAGACTTTTGACTTTGGCAGTGCAGGGCTTTTAGTGGAGCTGCTAGGCCTAGGTATACTAGGCCTATAGCCAACCTAGCCTGGCCTAACTGCCTAGGCCTACCAGGCTAGAGACCCTACCTAACTTAGGACCTAGCCTAGCCCTAATACTAGACTAAAATTGCTTACATGTAAACCGCTCCACCACAAGTTCAGTCGCAATATTGTCTTTATATACATCTTTCAATGAATCAATCAGCTTATGAACTTCATCTACTTCACTGAACTCCTCGCGTACTTGGCCCTGAAATACTTTGTCACCACCGGCGTTGTTTACACTGGTCGCCATTTTTAGCAGAGATTGATTGCCAGGTATTTCCTTAATTTCAGTAAATTTTTTGTACGTATCTCCTAATAAACGAACTCTCGATTTTACGGTAGTTGCTAAATACAACGGGTTCAGCCGAGGGGGCGTGGCTTCGTATGTTGACGTCATGCATAACTGCAGCTATGTTTTGTTTCCGATTTTACGAACTCAACAATGATGTACAGATAATTTTGGCTTCTGTACAGTACTATTTTGTTGCAGAAAGCAGAATCCACGTCATATTTCCATTGGCAAGGCTCCCTAGGACCCTTACCACGAGATGCTATGAAAATTCGAACTCTCTGGATTACGAACTTTCTCGTTTACGAACCCTGTTCGGACGGCTGACGGGCACTTAGTATGGTAATGGTGACGGTTGGAGACTTATGTAGCGCATAATATTAATACATGGTCTCTATGCGCTGAACAGAAAAACAGAAAATAAAATCAATTCAGTGGGTCACCTAAGCGAACCAAACTAAAATAAACAACCGAAAACACACTATAACACAGAAGGAAGATGTTACTGACATCATCATCATCATCATCATCATCATAATAATAATAATAATAATAATAATAATAATAATAATAATAATAATAATAATAATAACAATAACAATAACAATAATAATAATAATAATAATAAAAATAATAACCCAGCAGACATTTCCAAGGTGAATCGACGTCAAATGTCGACGTTGGATCGACGCGTCTATCAGCGCAACGTCGTATTGACGTCAATTATCAACGTCGAAACGACGTCATATATCAACGTTGAAACAACGTCAGGTACCGACGTCGACAAGAGGTTGGATAATATGTTGGATTTGAAAGGTGGATCGATGTCAAATATCAACGTTGAAATAACCTCAAGTACCGACGTCGACAAGAGGTTAGATAAATGTTGGATTTGAAAGGTAGATCGACGTCAAATTTCAACGTTGAAACAACGTCAACAGGGGCGGATCCAGAGATGTCCAAAAGGGGGGTCGAAAGGGGGGCCGAAATTTGGGCCGATAGAGACAACAATATCCTAGGGGGTCCGGGGGCATGCCCCCGCGAAATTTTTGTGTTCTAGACGCCCGAACATAACATTTGAGGCGTTCTGGGCCATCATTTTTTTCTTTTTCTTTCTTTTTTCTTTTTTTAACTCCCAAAAAGGGGGGGGGGGACCGGGCCCCCTAAATCCGCCCCTGGTCAAGTACCGACGTCGACAAGAGGTTTGATAAATGTTGGATTTGAAAGGTGGATCGACGTCAAATATCAACGTTGAAACAACGTCAAGTACCGACGTCGACAAAAAGTTGGATAAATGTTGGATTTGAAAGGTGAATCGACGTCAAATATCAACGTTGAAACAACGTCAGGTACCGACGTCGACAAGAGGTTGGATATGTTGGATTTGAAAGGTGGATCGACGTCAAATATCAACGTTGAAACAACGTCAAGTACCGACGTCGACAAGAGGTTGGATAAATGTTGGATTTGAAAGGTGAATCGACGTCAAATTTCAACGTTGAAACAACGTCAAGTACCGACGTCAACAAGAGGTTGGATAAATGTTGGATTTGAAAGGTGGATCGACGTCAAATATCAAAGTTAAAACAACGTCAAGTACTGACGTCTACAAGAGGTTGGATAAATATTGGATTTGAAAGGTGGATCGACGTCAAATATCAACGTTGAAACAACGTCAAACGCCGACGTCGACAAGAGGTTGGATAAACATTGGATTTGAAAGGTGGATCGACGTCAAATATCAACGTTGAAACAACGTCATGCATCGACGTCGACAAGAGGTTGGAAAAACGTTGGATTTGAAAGGTGAATTGACGTCAAATATCAACGTTGAAACAACGTCAAACGCCGACGTCGACAAGAGGTTGGATAAACATTGGATTTGAAAGGTGGATCGACGTCAAATATCAACGTTGAAACAAGTCACGCATCGACGTCGACAGGAGGCTGGATAAACGTTGGATTTAAAAGGTAAATCGACGTCAAATATCAACGTTGAACCAACGTCACGGATCGACGTCGACAGGAGGTTGAATAAACATTGGATTTGAAAGGTGAATCGACGTCAAATATAAACGTTGAAACAACGTCACACATCGACGTCGACAACAGGTTGGATAAACGTTGAATTTGAAAGGTGAATAGACACCAAATATCGACTTTGACTCGACGTCAGATATCATGGTTGAAGCAACGTCCGCAAATCGACGGCGACAAATAGTTGGGTTAACGTTGGTTTTAAACGGTAGATCGACTTAAATATCGACGTTGGATTAGCGTACAACATCAACGTTGATTCGACGTTGACAAGAGGGTAGACAAAGCTGGACATCAGGTATTAGTGTTGGAAACAACCTCATTCATCGACGTCGATACGACCTTGAATTTGTGAATAAAAAATGTTGTTAAGTTAATGTCATATCTAAAAAAAGTGAGCAATAAAACAAACTTATTACCAGATTCTGCAGTTTAAACATATTTATTCAGAAGCACACAATAATACATAGACAGTGTCTAGACTATTTCAAGTGTCCATTCAGGCTACTAAACTTTGACTATGTACGTCTTAAAAGAAATAAAATGCCACCATTAAAATTATATGAAAGTACTATACCATTGTACTTTATAATTCATTCGTTCCACATATGATAAAAAAAAAAAGTAATAATGTAATACTAGACAACCATGTCCAGAAGTATCTTTATTTTTTTTTAAATTTAATAGATCTTACCCAACCCATTATACACTCAGTTTATAAAAATATTAAGTGGAAATTATGAAATTTTGAATTGAAATTCGGGTGTTTGTTATGCCTGTATTCACGTTAAAATTTACAAGTTTAACGGCGAATGGTAAGATATATTTAGTCCAACCTGGAAAATAAAATGAAACAAAATGGTACTGACTAATTTGCAAATGAAAAATTTAAGTCCATAATTATTTGGCAACATAAGTTAATAAGTTTGAATTAAGCTTATTAATATAAAAAAATATCCCCATCAATTATTAGACCTTGTTCTGTTTGACATGCCTGTATGATCGAATAGAAATCAAGAATTTTACCAAATGCCTTACCATTTTAAAAACTATGGCATAGTAACCTTATTAAATAAAAGCTAATTAAATATTTTAATATCATGAGCATCATAACGATATTGTGAAAATTGCTGAAGTTATGTATTACTTTGTGAAATCCATATAAATATAAACTTTATGTATAATGTAACGGAATACCACCAGTCAACCAACCCTTAGCAAACCTTTCCCTTGAAAATTTTCCTTCAAGATCTTTTACCCTTTACTTATACAAAGTCGCATACCGTAGGCCTACTGTAAATTTGAATCTCACCCGCAAACAATCTCGCCTCCGGCACAAACTTAACCCTGTAAGCTTGCCTCCTAATAAAAGTGCCCCAACTAACATTTAATGGAGTTGTCGGAGGGTCTAACTTACCAGAAAATAAAGGAAAGAATCTGACTAAAAAACGAAATCGAATACGTAAAGGAGTATATAATATTTATATAAAAATAAATATGCCTAACAAAATGAAATCTATGAATAAATACGAAAATATATACTGTATCGGTATAGGCCTACTAACAAATTTGAATTGTAATATTGAACACGGTAGGTCTTAAAACCTAACAAAATCAATATGCGCTTATAGACAAAACGGAATATACAGTAATATGAAATATGCCTTAAATTATGATAGGCCTATAAAAGCTATTAAAACGGAATGTAAGTAATATATATACAGTATTTCTTAACTATATATACACATAAAAATAACAAAATCGATATGCGCCTATAGACAAAACGGAATCTACAGTAATATGAAATATGCCTTAAATTATGATAGGCCTATATGAAGCTATTAAAACGGAATGTAATAATATATACAGTATTTCTTCAAAGTATATATAATCATTTTAAAAAAACAGAATACGGTGTTATAAGGGTTCAATATAACATACTGAAATAGAAATAACAATGAAACGGAATCTTGATAAATATAATTATCACGTCTAATACTACGAAACCAAAAAACGGTGAATTTATTTGGGAGCGAGTTTGTTAGGGGCGAGTGTGCTAGAAAGAAGGCATCTTTGTTAAAGGAAAAGTTTCTTGGGAGAGGATAGAGAGTGGAATATAAATCACCTAAGATATAAATCACTGTACTAAAATATTATAACAATTAAACATATTCGTAGTTTAATAATGAATTAGACTATCGCTTAAAATGATCTATAAACAAATCAAAGAAAAAAAAACACTGACGTTAAATCAACATCACATCGACGTATACGTCGTTGTATTCACGTTAAATTTTTTGCAAGTTTAACGACGAATGGTAAGATATATTTAGTCCAATCTGAAAAATAAAATAAAACAAAATGGAACTGACTAATTTGCATAATTTGAAGTTACCAGCTTAGAAAATGAAAAATTTAAGTCAACTCGCCCTTAGCAAACATTTCCCTTGGAAATTTTCCTTTAAGATCTTTTACTCTTTACTTATACAAATTCGCCTACCGCAGGCCTACTGTAAATTTGAATCTCACCCGCAAACAATCTCGCCTCCAGCACAAAGTTAACCATATAAACTCGCCTCCTAATAAATCTGCCCCCAACTAACATTCAATGGTGTAGTCGGAGGGGGGGGGGGGTATAACTCATGAGAATAAAGGAAAGAATCTGACTTAGAAAACGAAATCGATACTTAAAGGAGTATATAATATTTATATAAAAATAAATAGGCCTACCAAAATGGAATCTATGAATAGATACGTAAAAATATACTGTATCGGTATAGGCCTACTAACAAATTTGAATTGTAATAATGAATATGTAGGTCTTAAAACCTAACAAAATTAATATGCGCCTATCGGAATCTACAGTAATATGAAATATGCCTTAAATTATGATAGGCCTATATAAAGCTTTTAAAACGGAATGTAAATACAGTATATCACTATCCATGATT